CTCCCCTCATGATCCCCCTCCCCTCACGACCCCCTTTTCCACGGACACCCCTTTCCCCGCAGGTTCCTCACCTCCAAAGAGCAGTTCCACGCCTACCTGCGGGCAGGGGGCGAGGAGGAAGAGGAGGAGGAGGAAAAGGAGGAGAAGGAAGAGGAGCAGGTCAGCAGCGCCCAGAGTGAGCCCCCAGCCAAGAGAGTGAAGGCAGAGGAGCTCGGCCGGGATGGGGAAAGCCAAGGGAAGGCTGGGGAGGAGGAGAAGGAGCGCCCGGAGAAGAAGAGAGCCCGGGGGCAGAACAAGAGCCGCCCGTGCATGAAACCCAACTGCTACGAGCAGAGCAGGCTGTGCCCCTCGGTGACACAGGTGGGACACAGGGCCCTGCTCTGGCTGGCTTAGGTGGGGTTTTGGGAAGGAATTGCTCCCTGTGAGGGTGGTGAGACCCTGGCACAGGGTGCTCAGAGCAGCTGTGGCTGCCCCTCGATCCCTGGAAGTGTCCAAGACCAGGCTGGATAGGGTTTGGAGCAGCCTGGGACAGTGGAAGGCATCGCTGCAGGTGAGACTGGATGGGATTTGTGGTCCTTTCCAACCCAAACCAGTCTGGAATTCCATAAAGCCAGCTGGGAGAGGGTGACACACGATGAGCTGAGTGTCACAAGTGAAGCATCACCTTCCCTGAAGTGTGTCCATCCTGCAGCACATCCCTGGGAGCATTCCCACCCTCACCTGGGGGATCTCAGGTGCTCAGAGCAGTTCTGGGCCGTGCTGCTCCATCCCCACCTTCCCCTGCTCCGTGTTGTCCCCAGGGCTGTGGTGGGCAGTGCCACTTTGGGCCACGCTGCCGCTTCCTCCACGACGTGTCCGAGTACCTGGCGGCGAAACCAGCAGACCTGGGCCAGCGCTGCGTCCTCTTCGACACCTTCGGCCGCTGTCCCTACGGTGTCACCTGTCGCTTTGGCCAGGCCCACCTTGGGGACGGCCACCAGAACCTGGTCAACACCGCCCTGGCCCAGCAGTGGGAAGGGAAGCTGCTGGTGAGGAACGGCCTCTCCAAGGAGCTCCAGCAGCAGCTGCGCAAGAGGAAATTCACCTTCCAGAAGGCCGAGGAGTTTCTCCGTGGGCTCCACGGTGGGAAGGGAGGCAAAGCCACAGGGGGCTCCACAGAGGTGTCCAACTGCACTGCACCCCAGGAGGGCCTGGGAGACAGCCCTGTGCTGCAGGACCAGGGAGAAGATCCCAAACCAGGAGATCTGGAGGGCTCCCGAGGGGCTGAGGGTGCTCCTGAACCAGAGGCCCTGCAGGGCTCCCAAGGGGCTGAGGGTGCTCCTGAACCAGAGGCCCTACAGGGCTCCCAAGGGGCTGAGGGTGCTCCCTCCATCCCAACCCTGGGCCCTCTGACAGATGAAGACATCACGAAGCTGCGGCCGTGTGAGAAGAAGAAGGTGAGAGTCCCTTGTGTCCTGATTCCATGGTGGAGATTGTGCATGGAAAGATGGAAGAGAAACCCCTTTAGCAGGAGGAGACAGGCAGAGCATTTCTTATATGTGGAAGGAATTCCTGCCTGTGAGGGTGGGGAGAGGCTGGGATGGAATTCCCAGAAAAGCTGGGGCTGCCTCATCCCTGGAAGTGTCCAAAGCTGGGCTGGGCAGGGCTTGAGGCACCCTGGGATAGTGGAAGGTGTCGGAGCATGGAATTGGGTGATCCTTAAGGTCTTTTCCACATCAAATCATTCTGTGATTCCATAAAAACCGTTGCAGCTCTTCTAACCTGCTCCTCCATCCCTGTTTTCCAGCTGGAAATCCAAGGAAAGCTCTACCTGGCTCCACTGACCACGGTAGGTTGATGACTCCATCCTTGTGCCAAAGTTCACCCTGGGCACGGTTGGAGCAGAGCACATCTCCTGACAATCCCTGCTGTCCCTGGCAGTGTGGAAACCTCCCTTTCCGCCGGATCTGCAAACGTTTTGGAGCCGATGTCACCTGTGGGGAGATGGCTGTGTGCACCAACCTGCTCCAGGGCCAGTCCTCCGAGTGGGCTCTGCTCAAGCGCCACCACACCGAGGACATCTTCGGGGTGCAGGTGAGGGTTGTCACCCCAGAACCCACCAATAACTCATTTCCCAGGGGAAAAGCTGCCTCTGGAACTCAGGGAAGCTGTTTCCCTCTGGCAGCTGGAGGGAGCCTTTCCAGACACCATGACCAAGTGTGCAGAGCTCCTGAACAGGACAATCGATGTGGATTTTGTGGACATCAACGTCGGGTGTCCCATTGACCTGGTCTACAAGAAGGTGAGAAGTTCTGTGTTGCCTTTTCCTCCCGTGAATCCTTGTCTTCTCCCTCATCCCCTGCTGCCTGATTGCCCTTTCCAGTCTGATCCAGAGCTCCCAGTTCGTTCATGGACAGTAGATCTCCATGAGAAGGGGAACAAGCTGCTCAAGGAGCAGGGAGTGGCCGTGTCTGCCTGGCAGGATTTGGGAGGGAAAAGCACTCTGCAGTTTTTTTGGTTGAAGCATCCACTTTCTCCAAACTTTGAGATGCTCCAAACCTTACCTGAGCAGCTCCAAGGACTCCACCATTGAGGAGAGTCCTGAGTGTGCCACGTTTTGTCCCTCAGGGAGGAGGCTGTGCTCTGATGACTCGCTCCAACAAGTTCGAGCAGATCGTCCGCGGGATGAACTCGGTGAGTTGGAGCACCTGGAGCTGAGCTGGTGGTGCCCAGCCTGGCCTGGCCTCATCTTCCCACCTCTGCAGGTGCTGGATGTGCCACTGACGGTGAAGATCCGGACTGGGGTACAGGAAAAGGTTAATGTGGCTCACAAAATCATCCCCAGGATCCGGGAGTGGGGAGCCTCCATGGTCACGGTACGGGGACAGATGTGTGGGGTTGGTGGCTGGGGAATTCTGCCTGGAGATCAGATGGGGATGACATTCCCCTGCATTTTAGTGTCCTCTGCTAATAAAAGAGGAAAATTCAGGTGCAGAGAGTGTTTTCCTGCCTGCTTTTGAGTCCATGAATCCCAGAATGGTTTGGGAAGGGACCTTAAAGCTGATCCCATCCCACCCCCTGCCATGGGCAGGGACACTTTCCACTACCCCAGGGTGCTCCAAGTGCTGTCCAGCCTGGCCTTGGACACTTCCAGGGCTGAGGGAGCCACAGATGGTTCCTGCAATGCTCTGGAGCAGAAGTTTCCCCCAGTCAGGACTGGGGAATGTGGGATCAGCTCTTTGTGTGGGGATTAGTTCCTGCCCACGGTGCCTCCCCTGGAGAGAGCCACTTGCTCTGGCTCACAGACAGCCCAAACATCACCCCAAAAGCCTCCAGCCCTTTCAGCTCCGCTCAGCTCTTCCTCAGCCCACTGTCAGCACCCCTGGCTATAAATCCAGAGGTAGATCCAGAGGCAGATCCCAAGGGAGCTCTGCTCACCCTGCTCCATCAGCACCCATCGATCCCGAGGGTGATTCCGAGGGTGATCCCAAGGCCAATCCCAAGGTTGCCTTCCCCATCGGGGTGTCAGTGCCCTCTGTCCAGCGGGGTGTCCCTGGGTCTCTCCGCAGCTGCACGGGCGATCCCGGGAGCAGAGGTACACCCGCAGCGCAGACTGGGGATACATCGCCGAGTGCGCCCGCATCGCCAGCCCCATGCCTCTCTTCGGTACGTGGGCCTTCCTCTGGAACTCGTTTCGCTTCAAATTCCTGCAAAAATGGGCAAAAAAAGCCACGTTCCCAAGGATGCTTAGCGTGGGGAAAAGGTTGGAGCATCCCTGGTGCTGCTGGGATGAGAATCACTTGGGTTTTAAAGGTGTTTTCTTGCCCCTGTGGCACAAAATCCCTAAACCTTCAGGGAAACGAGCTGTGAGTGAAGGAGAAGAGAGGAGAAGGCTCCTTTTTTCCTTGTAAGGGAACATCCATCAGAAACATCCCTGGGAATCCAAACCAGGAGCCTCTTTGGACCATCTGGCTGCCTTGAACATTGTGTCCATTTTGAATTTTATCCCATGCCTGGATTAGCTCACTTTGACTTGTCCTCACGGATCACTTTGACCTCTGGCTTCTCCCTCCTTTCCGGGCAGGAAACGGGGATATTTTGTCCTACGAAGATGCAAACCGAGCCATGCAGATGGGAGTTTCTGGAATCATGATTGCAAGGCAAGTGCCTGTGTTTCCCTTCACTCCTGAGCTCTGGTGGTTCAAGAGGAAAAAAATAAAAAAGGATTTTAAAAAATCCCTAAACAAACCCAAAAGATAGAGTTTCCTCTCGGTGAAAGCACTCTGAAGATTGGTAAAATCAATTTATATCAGTTGGAGCTTCTTGTTGGAATGGAAAAGGAGATTTAAAGCAGAATTGGCTGGGGAATTAATGCTGGAAAGTGTCTCCAATCTTCAGGAGCATCAGTGATGGGAATAACAATCCCTTTTTTTCTCTTTTGGCTGCAGAGGGGCACTCATCAAACCCTGGCTTTTCACGGAAATCAAGGAGCAGAGACACTGGGATATCTCCTCCAGCGAGAGATTTGACATCCTCAAGGACTTCACCAACTACGGCCTCGAGCACTGGGGGTCAGACACTCAGGGAGTGGAGAAAACCAGGAAATTCCTGCTGGAATGGCTCTCCTTCCTATGCAGGTAGTGCTGCCCAGCCAGGAGGATCTTTAAACAATAATTAATGACTCCCTAGCAATCACTGCTCATTTCATTTTATTCCAGGTACATTCCAGTTGGATTATTGGAGTATCTACCTCAAAGAATCAATGAGAGACCGCCTTATTACCTGGGGAGGGACTACCTGGAGACCCTCATGGCCAGCCAAAATGTGGATGATTGGATCAAAATCAGGTAATGAGGCATCAAATTTCATTTAAATTGTTAAAAAGGGATGTGGCAGAGCCCCTGTAGAGCCACAGGGTCGTGTGAAACTGAACACTGTCCCTTCCTTGGGTTTGGTTTTGTTGTCTTTCCTCCCTGGAAGTGCCCAAGGCCAGGCTGGACAGGGCTTGGAGCAACCTGGGATAGCGGGAGGTGTCCCTGGCCATGGCACTGGGGGAGCTTTAAGGTCTCTGGATTAATTCTATAATTGATTCTTTCTCCCAGTGAGCTGCTCCTGGGCCCTGTCCCGCCCAGCTTCACCTTCCTGCCGAAACACAAGGCCAATTCCTACAGGTAGGGCTGGCCAGGCCCTGTCCTGCAGCGTCGGGAGGGGCCGTGAGCGGGAGCAGGGCTCCTCGGCTGCGCTGGCACCTGGAATAAAGCTGTTGTTTTTACAAACCGGTGAGTTTTTTGCCTTCCTGCCCCACATGGGTCCTGGCAGATAAACACCCCGTTAGTGAGGGGATCTTTGCCTCCAGTTCACAGCCAGAGCTGCCCCACATGGCTGAGAAAGAGCCCTCAGTTCCCACACCACGTCCTTGGGATGACAAACCCCCAGGACGAGGAGCAGCAACGTCCCCACAAGCAAGGTGACACGGAGCTGATGTTCAAGCTCCCAAAGAGAAGCTTCTCAAAGAATCCTCAAGGCTCTGGGGACAGCCTGGAGGGTCTCAGCAGCATCCCCACACCTGCGAGATCCCAATGGCACCAGCAGAGTGGGGAGAGTGGTGGTGACATCCATCATAGCCACCTCCACAGGGACATCCCCAGGCAACAACAGCTCCCCAGCCACGCTGCTGCCCCAAAACCAAGGGCCAGGGACGGGGCAGGGCTGGGGCACCGCGGGGATCCCTGCACCGTCCCCATCTCGCCCCACCGCAAGCCCCTGGACGAGCTGCTGCCTCGGTAGGTGTCATGGCGGCCTCCTGTGCCTCGGTAGGTGTCATGGCGGCCTCCTGTGCCTCGGTAGGTGTCATGGCGCCCCCCGGTGCCTCGGTAGGTGTCATGGCGGAGGCAGGAAGCGGAAGTCGTTGTTGTCACGTGACACACGCCCTGTTCCGCGTGTAACGCCCGGTAGTGGCGGGGGGGCACGGGGGGAACCGGGAGGAACTGGAGGCACCGGGAACCGGGCTGGTGTCCTGGGAGGGGCGCTGGGGACCCAGCGGGGTAAGTGGAGGGGTGCAGAGATAACGGGGGGGCACTGGGGCG